CCCCTAACATTCCACCTGCAGCCATGCCCTCCCCGAGCAAGGCCCTAAGGTAACCAACTCACGTGATCAATCTTACCACAATATCCTTGCCTGCATCCCAACTATTTCTGTGCGAATATGCTCCGCCTGGCCTGATCAGATTCGAACCCTCAACCTCTTCTATACAGCCCCTAGCGGAGATCCACTGAGCTTCAATTACAACTGGTCTGTTTGTGTGTTGTACTAGACTGGGAAACAGGTGCGTGAACAACCATGGACTGAACCCCTTGGATGGAACAGACAGTGTCTGTAGTCCTTACCATGCGCCAAGCCTCCAATTGGCCATGCGTCGGTTAACACCCTGCCGGTGTCCATGTGCAAGGCTGCAGAGTTTTGAACCCACAACCTCAAACCACAATTATGTGGATTTCCAACCGGGGCTCTAGCCACTGGGCTAATGACCACCGCCCACCCTGCTGCTTGTCTTGATGCTTGCTATGCTTCCCGCACAGCAGCTCGTACTTGGCTGCTACTTGTCTTTGCCTGCCTGCTTGTCCTGATGCTTTGGTTTGCTGCCCGCCTGCCGGTTCGGACTTGGCTGTCACACTTTGCCTTGCCTTACCAGCCCGCCCACCCCTGCTGCCCCAATGCCCCTGGCTGCTCACCCGCTTGCCTGGTGTTGCCTGCCTGCTTGTCCTGATGCTTACTTTGCCGCCCATCTGCCCGTCCGTGCTTGGCTGTGACTTGCCTTGCCTTGCCAGCCCACACGCCCTCTGCTTTTCTTCTGCCCCACTGCCTGGCTTCTCCTCTGTTTGCCTGGTGTTGCCTTCCTGCTTGCCTGCGTTTGCCTTCAGGCCCCCCCTGCCTACCCCCACCAACCCGCCCTTTGTGCTACTGCTGCCTGCTTTGCCTTGCTCCTTTCCTTGTCGCCTACCTGCCTGTCCACTAACAACAGGGGTTAACGTAGACTAAGGGGTGAAAGTAGACGAAGGGTTTAAAGTAGACTAAGGGGTTAAAGTAGACTAAGAGGTTAAAGTAGACTAAGACTCAAAGCAGTCCAAATACGGGGATTCTGCAGACTGTCCAGGGTTCACTGTTCAGTCTCCTGACGAGTCCGTCAGCGTCTGACCCCGTGCAGTGGGAATGATACATAGCCTTTGTCAAGCATGCATGTTGGGGTCACCTGGGCTATATTTTTCTCGATGGTGCACTGCACTGTGAAGCATTGGAATTCATCTTTGGGAGTCGGTCAATTTCTGCCCTGGGTGAAACTTAGTATTAGTCTCAATCCCATATCCATATTGAGGGCTATGGAAGGAAGACGGTAGTTGGCCGGACTTCATCATGGATTATGGCTCAGAGCATGCCACGTACTGGAGCATATAAACATGTCTCTCTCTCTCTCTCTCTCTCTCTCTCTCTCTCTCTCTCTCTCTCTCTCTCTCTCTCTCTCTCTCTCTCTCTCTCT